AAGCCCGCGTACCCAGCGCTGTACTTGTGAAGGTAGTTGGCCCAGCCCAACCACTTTCGAAGATCCTTCTGGGATCGGGGCGTCGGCCATGCTGCTATGGCCTTGACCTTGTCTGGGTCAGCCCGAACGCCCACGTTGCTGACGAAGCAACCGAGAACTTTAATCTCTGGTGACGCGAAAACGCACTTGTCGATGATGTTGGCGTAGAGCTTGTTCGCTCGCATCACGTCCAACACTCGACGAAGGTGTCCTAGATGCACCTCCATGGCCGTCTTGCCTCCCTCGGCACGGCTATGGACGAAAATGTCGTCAAAGTACGTCTGTACGAAGGTACGCAAAGGGCGGAACAATTGCGTCACCAGGCGATTGAACGTCGCCGGGGCGTTAGAAAAGCCCTGCGGCATGACGAGCCACTCCCAAAGCATGCCGCTTGGAGTGCTTACCGCGGTGAGCGGGATGTCACTCTCTCGCATCAGGATTTGGTAGTATCCGTCTACCAAATCCAGCGCACTGTACAGTACGCTCCCGGCCATGTTGTTCAGCAACACATCCTTTCGTGGGATCGGTGTTTGGGCCGGCACCGTTGCGTTGTTCAGCTTGTTATAAGCGTGAACCAGACGCCACTTTCCGTTCGGCTTCCGAACGCAGAAAGTCGGCGTCGAGTGCGGGGATTTCGATTCCCGCACCATGCCTGCCTTCGCTTTCGCGGCGAAAAAGGCATCAATGACCTCGCACTGGTCGCGCGGGAGAGGCCATTGCCTCGTGACACAATACTTTGTGCCGGGCACGAGATCAATCTCGTGCCGTACGCCTCGATCCGGTGGGAGTTGGGTCGGTGGGTGTTTGTTCACCACGTCCGCATACTCCGTCACCAAAGGATACACCGGATCCTTGGGGTTCTTGAGAATCTCAGAACCCAAGCGCGCCTGACGCTGCTTGTTCATGTCTTCCAGGACGTTCTCGTCCAAGACAGAGGAGGAGTTCAGCTCCTCCTGAGTGGTCTCAGGTCTCATGAGTACCATCTCAGCAATCTCTCCAGCCTTGAGGTTGGCCAGGAAAGACTCAGCCGTCATTTCCTCGAGGTTCAGTATCTCCGCAACCTCTGGCCACGGTTCCAAGTGGACACCAGATGCCTTGACGGGTAAACCTGTCTCGCCATCGAAGATGTGATAACACTCTTCCACCGGCCTTGTCGGAGGAGCCCGGGCCCTGGACTCCGAGTCGCTTGAAGCGACGTCGATCGGAACGAAGTTCGGATCCGACTTGAGGCGGCGGCGGTGTCTTTGCCGACGGCGTCTGTGACGGGGAGCTTTGCTGCCCACGTCTAGGGATGTCGTCGCTACGACATCCGAGGCACTCGTGGCCTCGTGTGATACTGTTGTACCCACACAGGAAGCGTGTTCAAGGCCTTCCTCTTCAGTTAAGGTCTGGGCGACCGCGTGTGGCACTGTGTTACCCACACAGGAAGCGTATCCGACGATTTCCTCTTCAGTTAAGGTCTGGGCGACCGTGAGTGGAACTCTGTTACCCACTTCTGAACACGCTGTTCTCAGTGTTCATGACAGCTGCAGCTGTC